TCTTACCCCCTTCCCCCTTTTCCATCCAGTGTTAAGCAGCACACCCACAAAAGTTGGGAGACTGTTTTTAGGAGAGAGTGGTCTCCAACTACAGTCTTTATGTTTGCTTCCAGAATAATCCTCAAGCCCTACCAACTAGCAGCGTATTCTTGATCAAGGAATCCTTTTCCCTGTGGTTAGCAATGCCATCCCTGTATCTGAGTTAGGTTCTATGGGTTTATTTATTTATTTATTTATTTTTTACAGGGACAGTGAAGGTAAGCAGTTTAGCTAAATGCGTACAGAATGGTACAGAAATTAGGGATGCTTGGAAATGGCTTCTAATCACAATAAAGGCACATGCCCTGGGATGGGTGGAGAACCCTGGTCCAGTTATACCTGGGTACGCAAGAAAGCTTGCGATGCCTCCCCCCGAAAGCATTATGGGTACCGTAGCCTTTATGCTGGATATTTAGAATACTCTTGAAATCACCCTTTTGATTTCGGGGATTCTAGCTAATAAAACTTCTTTCAGAAATAATAATCCAAAAAAAAAAAAAAAAGAAAGAAACCCAAAACCCAAACCGAAAACTATTCTGATGGTCATTCCAAGAAACCATCAAAATGTTAACTAAATATTACTTATACACTTATTTCTAAGTAAAAGTACTTTTTCATAAATTGGGCTGGAGCAAAAGTTTCTTTTACTATCACATATATTAAGAACTATAGACAAGAGAGTGGATTCTAATACCGAATTGCTGCATTGCTGTTATCGTTAAATCCCTGTTTGAGTTTTCTTTCCCCCTTATGTATTTCTTCCCTCCACTCCTAAATATATGTATATATATATATATATACTTAAATCTCTCTACCCAGAAATTGTACGAAAGACAAATATTAAAGAAAGCCAATAAAATAGAGACCACAGGCACGTCCTCGGAATATGCTTTGCAAGGGTCCGGGGCTAAATGAAATCGAACTAGGATGCACCATCAAGGGGGCGCGTGGGAAAGAAGAGTTGTGCTTCTGCAGAGACACACTTCCCAGGGAGAGACAACCTTTCTTGTGGCTAACCAACGAGTCACGTGGTGGGAGGGGGCTCTTTCTTTCTCCTCCACATCCCTTCCTCTGATGTCACAAATCTATTCTTTCCTGGGAGAATTCATTAGCATTCATTGGGTGCAGTTGGCTAGAAGAAAGAAGGGAGCTGAGAGAGAGTAGGGGAGAGGGGAGAGCACACGGAGCAGGAGCACTAGCGCTGAAGAAAAAGAGAAAGGAGGACGAGCCTGGTGGGGGAGCAGGCCCTTCCCCTGGGAGCCGCATTGCATTGAGGCTGGAGGCTGGTCGGGCACAGAATGGCTGTTTTATAACTGGGATCCTCGGTGACGTCCGCTCCTTGGCAGCTGTCTTAATGGTCCAGTAGGCAGAGCGAAATTGACGCGGACAAGACTTTTGCATCTTGGAAGAGACCGCAATCTACTGTAGTGAAGAACAGAGCCTCTCAATCAGGCGGGTGTAAATAAGAGACGGAGGGGAGTCCAAGAGAAAAGGAAGAGGAGGGGAAGAAAAGTGTGTGTTGGGGGGAGCAGGGGGAGAAGCATTTTTGGTGGATGGTATGAAGCCAGCCATGGAAACTGCAGCCGAGGAAAATACTGAACAAAGCCAAGAGAGAAAAGGTACCCAGCGCTCTGACAATAGTCTGTTTAAAGCTTTTCACTGGGGGTGCTTCAAAAGGGTTAGCCTGGTTTTGTCTCTGTATTCAAATGGCATGGGCTTGTGTTCAGGGTGGGTTTTTGCCCCCCACCTCTGTGGCTGACGTTAAATTAATAGAGCAGCCTCCCTTCAACCTATTTCGCTTTCAAATCTTTTCTCCTGAACACGGTATTTCATAGAAGGATGTCTGTGGCTTGCTACTCTGGGCAGACGGATGGGGGAACTGGCTTTTTTTT